AATTAGGGAATGTGCAGCTCAGGTTCAGCCTCAGCCTTGTCTGGTACCCCTTCCCTGGTGAAAGCTGAGAACTGAAGGACCAGACTCAACCTGCCCACAAGCCTTCTTTCCTTACCAGGGCAGAAAGCCTTTTCGTATGACTCCATGCTCTTTGTTTAACGTCTCCAAAGGACTAATTTACAAACTTTTGAGCTCCATGGCATGGAGTTTTTTGTAGACAGAGACTTCCCATTTGAGATGAGGTTATTACCTACTTTGTTCAGTGCCACAAAATTAACTTTCATATAGGTTACTTTTTTTTTTGAGACAGTCTTGCTCTGTTGCCCAGACTGGAGTGCAGTTACACGTCTCGGCTTACTGCAACCTCCTCTTCCCGGGTTTAAGCGATTCTCCTGCCTTAGCCTCCTGAATAACTGGGACTACAGGCGAGCGCCACCACGCCAGGCTAATTTTTGTGTTTTTAGTAGAGATGGGTTTTTGCCATGTTGGCCAGGCTGGGCTCGAACTCCTGCCCTCAAGTGACCCGCCTGTCGGCGCCTCACGAAGTGCTGGGATTACAGGCGTGAGCCACTGCGCGCAGCTGTATAGAGGTTACATTTTGAACAAGCAAAGCCCCATACAGCCGGACACGGCCTTGTCCTTTCCACTGTTAAAAAGCAAACGGCTGGCCGAGCGCGGTGGCTCACGCCTGTAATCCCAGCACTTTGGGAGGCTGAGGCTGGGGGATCACGAGGTCAGGAGATCGAGAACATCCTGCTAACACGGTGAAACCCCGTCTCTACTAAAAATACAAAAAAAATTAACCAGGCGTGGTGGCGGGCGCCTGTAGTCCCAGCTACTCGGGAGGCTGAGGCAGGAGAATGGCGTGAACCCGGGAGGTGAACCTTGCAGCGAGCTGACATCGTGTCACTGCACTCCAGCTTGGGCGACGGAGCGAGACTATGTCTCAAGAAAAAGCAAACGACTGATTCGAGGTTGTGCATAGCTGACTTAGCACTGGATATTATGCCAATCACTAATTCATAAAAACAATACAGGTGAAAATATAGAATGGTAAAGTGGTGATTAGTGTGACTGATAGTGGTTCAATTTAAATAGTCACAAATTATGATGCATCAAGTCAAAAGATTATAGGGCCACCTGGCCGGGAGCGGTGGCTCACACCTGTAATCCCAGCACTTTGGGAGGCCGAGGCGGGCGGATCACCTGAGACCAGGAGTTCCAGACCAGGTTGGCCAACATGGTGAAACCCCCGTCTCTACTAAAAATACAAAAATTAGCTGGGTGTGGTGACGCCTGCTTGTAGTCTCAGCTACCCAGTAGGCTGAGGCAGGAGAATCGTTTGAACCGGGAAGGTGGTGGTTGCAGTGAGCTGAGGTCGCGCTACTGCACTCCAGCCTGGGAGACACAGCGAGACTCTGTCTCAAATAATAATAATAACGATAAAAGATTATACTGCCACCAAAAGCATAGTGACATGTGGGAAAGAAAAGCGAAACACAGATGTTTTATTTACAACATAATTATAAAAATAGGTATGCATGGCCGGGCGTGATGGCTCACGCCTATAAGCCCAGCACTTTGGGAGGCCGAGGCGGGTGGATCACCTGAGATCAGGAATTGGAGACCAGCCTGGCTAACACGGTGAAACTAAACTACTAAACTAAGACACTAATAAACTACTAAAAATACAAAAACTTAGCCGACTGTGGTGGCACGTGCCTGCAATCCCAGCTACTTGGGAGGCTGAGGCGGGAGAATCACTTGAACCTGGAAGGCGGAGGTTGCCTTCAGCCGAGATCACACCATTGCACTCCAGTTTGGGCAACTCGAGCAAAACTCCGTCTCATAAAATAAATAAATAAATAAACAATAAAAATAACAATAGGTATGCATATAAATACAGATTGTAGAAGAATACAGAACTCAAACTAGAAAATCAGACTCTTCTTAGAGGATACTGAGGATGGTTCATCCCATTGGGGTGCCCTGTAGATACCTGGAGCTCTTTTGGTTCCTGCTCTTTTCTGCTTATCCAGGATTTTCTTCTGTGAACCTCCCTCTATTAGAGTACAGAGTATGCTGTCATAATAAAAAGACCCCAAAATATAGTGATTTGAGATGGAAACTTATTTTTCATCTAACAGTCCAGAGGTAGGAGTGGTGGAGGCTATAGAGTGGATCAGCTTCATTAATTCTTCCATGGACTCTGCTTTCTGTCTGTTTTGGTTTTATTTTGGTTTGGTTTCGTTGGTTTTTGTTTTGTTTTTTGTTTTGTTTTGTTTTCCAATCCTGCCCCTTCTTTCCTCTTGACCCTTGGTATTTTTCCTAATTTGCATGGTTAAAGGTAGGGCACTGCAGTGGATCTGCACTGGCGCCACCTAGCGCTGGAGAAGGGCAAAAGAGCGAAAGTAGAGGGCAACCGATTTCTTTTTAAGCAAGCGATGCAGAGTGCACATACAACTTTCATTCATATTCCATTGGTGAGAACTTGACCACACTTGGTTGTAAGGAAATCCGGGCAATATGGTCTCTAGCTGGCATTTCATGTGCCCAAGTAGCAATGTATTAGCGTTGTAAAAGGGGAGAACCGACTTTGGGGGACAACTTACATTTCATTATCAGCCCATTTTCTTCTGACCAACTTGCTTGAGATAACTTACTTTCTTCTGAAATCTCCTAAAGAGAGGTTCGTTTACTTCAGTTTACAGACAGTCCTCGTTTGCAATCAATGTACCTTAACCGATGCCTCATTCTTCAGGCTCTAATTTAAATGATACCTCCTAAAAGAGGCTTACCTGACTACATTCTCGAAACCTGGTGCCCCACCTGCTTCCTACCACCATTGTTTATATCTCAGTACTGTGCTTCCTTCACCAGCACTTATCAGTTTGAAATTATAATTTTTTTGCTAAATTTTTGTCTGTCTCTTCCACCGTGTCTCTTTTCTTCACCAGCACATCTCTATCACCTAGTACAGTGCCTGTCATTGGATAAGTAAAAAGTAAATATTTGGTATTAAATGAATGAAACAGTAGTCAAGGATGACTCAGAGTTCTGAAGTAAGCAACTAAACATACTGATGGGCCAGGCACGGTGGCTCACGCCTGTAATCCCAGCACTTTGGGAGGCTGAGGCAGATGGATCACGAGGTCAGAAGTTCAAGACCAGCCTGGCCAACATGGCGAAACCCCATCTTTACTGAAAATACAAAAATTAGCTGGGCGCGATGGTGGGCACCTGTAATCCCAGCTGCTGAGGAGGCTGAGGCAGGGGAATCGCTTGAACCCAGGAGGCGGAGGTTGCAGTGAGCCAAGATCGCACCACTGCACTCCAGCCTGGGCAACAGAGCAAGACTCTGTCTCAATAAATAAATAAATAAATAAACAAACAAACATATTGATAAAAAGGAAAATTGAACAAGTTTGGAGGAAGAAGAGAAGATCAGTTTTGTTTGCAAATACTGAAGTTTTGAATGATTTCGTGACATCCAGAAGGCAACTAAAAATGTGAATCTGAAGCTCTGGAAACAGCATCAGATTGGAACTATAGATTTGAAAGCCTTGAGAATTGATTAGATCACTCATGAAGAACATAGAGAACAGAGAACATTTATGAGGGAACTGTAGGGAACAAAAACATTTGCTGGGTGGGCAGAAGAGACAGCCTGGGAGGAAATATCAGGGGCTGTGAACAAGAACCAGGTAGAAGAAATGTTCAGGGAGGAAATAGCAGTCACAAGTGACAGAGATTGGTGGTAAATTATGTCAGCCAAGTCAGAAAGGGTTCCTTAGACCTGCCAGTTAGGAGGCTTGGGTATTGCAGCCTTAGCTAGAATAGTTTCAGTGGATTGGTGGGCTATGGACTGACGACAGAAGGTTAAGAAGCGAATGTAGTTATTGTTGAACATGGTTTGAAGAAGTGCAGCCATGAAAACAGATTTCATTTAGAAAGACAGGCAAGGTCAAAGGCGTTTTTTTAAAGAAGAAACGCGGCTTGGAATCTGTATTAAGTGAAAGAGAGAGATAGGATGGGTGAAAATGATTGATGGAAGAATTTTGACCTATTGGGTTTGAGGTAGGAGGGGAAAACAGAAGGGTGCTCTTCTCTGAAGCTGTAAAGATAAATTTAGAGCGGGGAGAGTAGCAAGGAATTGAAAATTTTTTGTCTGATGGCCTTCAGTTTATCCATGAAGGAGGGAGCAAAGTTATCTGCTACAAGGACGGAGGTGGAGGGGAAAGTCTAGACTGGTTTTTAGGAGACAAGGGGTAGGGGGTGAGGGAAAGACTATAGAGAACTAATAGAAGGTCTGCTTTTGCAGATCTACTATAGTCGAAAATTTTTTCTTTCCTCCTCTCTATCCCTTCCTAAGTTTGTCTCAAAAAAGACTTCGGGCTGCCAAATCCAAATTTTTCCACCAATATACCCGATACTAGTTTTTTATCCAAAAACAACGGGCAACTAACATGCAGGGCAGAGAAAACAAAAGTTGCCCCAGGCTTCCTTCATTCAAATAGTGAAGACTGAGCTGGCCTCGGCACCATGCAGACTCCCAACCTCTGCTACTGTGGGTTATTCTCCTTATAATGCAGTCACCTCCTAAATGCTTGCTGAAAATAATGGAAGATTTCGAGCCAAATGGTTGCCCCTTAAGTAACGTCCCCCAAAAGATGAAGCATATATTTAAGGCCTGCTGAAGCAAGCAACGCTGAGGGACCAGGTTATTGCGTTTTTCTTTCTGTCGCTGCGTGTCCGGACGCCACACTATGAGCATTAAGCGCATACTGACCAATTTCTTTTAAGCAGGAATGCGGTATTCGGATCAAAACACCGTGAGCCGTGGCAGCAACTGCGCCTGTAGCTTCCGGGGTCCCCACCCTGTAAGGCTTAACGGCCCGCCAGCTCAGATGACGCCACACTATCGTAGCCTCCAGACCGCCCAGTGTGGGTGTGTCCAAGCTACGTCGCCGGGCTTGGGCCCCCTTCAACCCCTCCCCCGATGACGTCACCGCAGTGCAGCTTCTAGTAGCTTTTCGCAGCGTTTCCAACCGCCGGGCGCGGTGGCGCGTGCCTGTAGTCCCAGCTACTAGGGAGGCTGAGGTGGGAGGATCGCTTGAGCCCAGGAGTTCTGGGCTGTAGTGCGCTATGCCGATCGGGTGTCCGCACTAAGTTCGGCATCAATATGGTGACCTCCCGGGAGCGGGGGACCACCAGGTTGCCTAAGGAGGGGTGAACCGGCCCAGGTCGGAAACGGAGCAGGTCAAAACTCCCGTGCTGATCAGTAGTGGGATCGCGCCTGTGAATAGCCACTGCACTCCAGCCTGGGCAACATAGCGAGACCCTGTCTCTTTTGCCCTCCTCGCTCACTAAGGGTACCTTTGTAAGTGGATAGTGTCAAGAAGTTTGCTTCCATACGTATTAAGAAGCATACTAATGAGCGCATTTAAAGACGAACCCAGTCTTCCTCTAAAGACAAAAATATACGGAGAGATATTACTGAGGTTTATAGTCGGATTTCTCTCTCCACGCTTCTATTTATCCACTATTTTACGTTTCCTTTAGCGTTAAAACCCACCAGTTGACGGGATGCTCGGGGACTTGCAACCACCTCATCGCTGCCCCCTACCGGCGCATCTTCAAAACGTCTCTGCGAAAAGCTGTTATTACTCTCGGAGCCAACAGGGGCTGCTCGTTTACCCACAGCCAGTCGGAAAAAATGGCCGCCGGACCGCAGAGAGCAAAAAGTACGTTCTCTTTAAGAATTTCCAAGATATTCCCACGGCGGTCCAGGATGCTGCTTGCAGTTACCAACACTATTCCCCTGCACTGAGCTGACCTGAGCTTCCCTCCCTACCTCCTGTCACGGATGTCACCTTCTTTCACCTCTGTCCTGTCAAGGTTTTTGCTTTAGAATGCTATCGACCAAAGACGGGCTGATCTAGTCTTTCACACAAATCTTTCGTTCTACTTTCCTACAAGCAGGGCTAACTTTCCGACGAGGAACCCCACTACTGCCTCCTTATAAGGGAAAAACTCGTCTCAGAGGAACCCATAACATCCTGTGATGACAGAGGTGAGGGGCCAGCGTGGCAGAATGCATCACCTTGTCTCCCTGCTCGCTTCGCTCTCCGTCGGATTGCCAAAAGGTAACGGCACCTAGACTCCGAAAAGTAATTGAAGCAAAGGGAGTTTAAAGAACGCGCCCGACGGCCTGGGTCTTGAACCCAGTGTTAAAGAGAGCAAAAACCTCTGCATCCTCCACTGAGCTGTGTTGAGCATGTCTCATAATCATGCTTCATTTTTAAAAAAGAAATAAGTGAATACGCTATGAAAGAAGACAGCCTTTAAATTTTTCAAAAGTTCTTGGTGGTCTGTGATTAGAAATTTCATCTATATGAAATAACAGTTTTGGAGGACTTACTGTTAAATTCAGGCGTTTTAGGGCCAGTGGAAATTGGTTAAGCATTCACATCACTCTTAACATTAATCTGATAATCTATTGGGAGTTTAAAGACTCTAAGTACTAAACACAGATTTTCCTCACTATCTATAAAATGAAAGAGGAAAGAAACATTGTACTCAATTGTGTATAAAGCTAATTGTATTCCTTTTTTTAAATTTTTATTTATATATTTATTTTGAGGTAGTTCACTGCATTTTGAACAAGGACAACTGTCAGAGAAGATCCTGTTTGAATCGAGCAGATATCTCCCCCATGGCTGCTTCTGGGTCTGCCCTCTGCAACCACGTGGAATAAGTCTTATTCCAGTTCTAGAGGACAACTTTTCAAGAATTAAAAAAATCACCTCCAAATGAATGCATTTTTACTAAATGAAAATAGCTAGAGATGCTATTTTTTAAAAAAAAAAAACAAACAACTTTACCTTCTCACCAACCTTAAAATAAGAAGCAAAATAATTTTGGCATATATATATATATATATATATATATATATTTTTTTTTTTTTTTTTTTTTTTTTTTTTGAGACAGAGTCTTGCTCTGTCGCCCAGACTGGAGTTCTGTGGAGCCATCTCCGCTCACTGCAACCTCTGCCTCCTGAGTTTAAGCGATTCTCCTGCCTCAAGCCTCCCGAGTGGCTGGGATTACAGGCACACACTACCACACCCGGCTAATTTTTGTATCTCTTTTGTTTTTCACTAAATGGATCCTTGAATTGGACCCAGAATGACTTAGCTATGGATGTAAGTACTGCTTTTGAGTAGCTGCCTCTATTAGTCCTGGGGTTCCTACTTCCTGAGTTTCTTCTATGACCTCTGGGATAACTCAGCTTTGTGGAACTGAGGTGTGATAGGCAGCATAATGACCCCCTCCCCAATGATATCTATGTGCTACCTAACCAAGGAATGTGGACAGCCCCCCTGAAGCTGGAAAAGGCAAGGGAAGGGATTCTCTTCAAGAGCTTCCAGAAGGAATGCAGCCCTACTCACCCATTTGGTACTTCTGATCTCCAGAACTCTTAAATAATAAATTTGGCTGGGTGCAGTGGCTCACACCTGTAATTCCCAGCACTTTGAGAGGCCAAGGCAGGTGGATTGCTTGAGCTCAGGAGTTGGAGAGCAGCCTGCACAACATGGTGAAATCCTGTCTCTACAAAAAATATGAAAATTAACCATGTGTGAAAGTGTGTGCCTGTAGTCTCATCTACCAGGGAGGCTGAGGTGGGAGGATTGCCTGAGCGCAGGAGATTGAGACTGCAGTGAGTCATTAGTGTCCCACTGCATTCCAGCCAGGAGGACAGAGTGAGACCCCATCTCAAAAATAATAGTAATACATTTATGTTGTTTAAGCCTCTAAATTTGTGGTAATTTGATACAGCAAATTATCACAGAATAGGACAGTAATACATGGGGGGAATCAAGCTCAGTCTATGCCTGACAAAACTCTGAGAGGTCAGAAAGGTATCCTTTCAGTAATTGTCTTCTTGAACTCCTGAGCTCAAGTGATGCGCCTGCCTCAACCCCTCAACCTGTGCCCAGCCAGTAACTGTCTTCTTTTTTCTTTTTTTTCTTTTTTGAGACGGAGTCTCACTCTGTTGCCCAGGCTGGAGTGCACTGGCTGGATCTCAGCTCACTGCAAACTCCACCTCCCAGGTTTAGGCCATTTTCCTGCCTCAGCCTCCCGAGTAGCTGGGATACAGGCGCCCGCCACCTCACCTGGCCAGTTTTTTGTATTTTTTAGTAGAGAGAGGGTTTCACCGTGTTAGCCAGGATGGTCTTGATCTCCTGACCTCATGATCTGCCCATCTCGGCCTCCTAAAGTGCTGGGATTACAGGCCTGAGCCACCGCGCCTGGCCGTAACTGTCTTGTTTAATGTACTTGTACTTAAAAAATAAATAAATAAATAAAAACTTTTAAGTTCAACGCATTTTCACATTGATATATTTTTCCGTGTGTGTGTGTGTGTGTATACTACACTTTTAAGTTTTTAATTATGTTTAGGGTTAAGATTAGGGTTATGGTGGAATATTTTGATATACAATGACTTTAAACTTTTATGGGCTGGGCACAGTGGCTCAGGCCTGTAATCCTAACAATTTGGGAGGCCAAGGCGGGCAGATCACCTGAGGTCGGGAGTTCAAGACCAGACTGACCAACATGGAGAAACCCCCGTCTCTACCAAAAATACAAAATTAGCTGGGTGTGGTGGTGCATGCCTATAATCCCAGCTACTCGGGAGGCTGAGGCAGGAGAATTGCTTGAACCCGGGAGGCAGAGGCTGAGGTGAGCCAAGAGTGAGCCATTATGCTTCAGCCTGAGCAACAAGAGTGAAACTCGGTCTCAAAAAAAAAACCACACACACACATCTTGAATGTATTCAGATCTGTTAATCTAATCATTTATGTTTTCTGCTTTTAGTGTTTTGCTTTGAAGGGTCTCACCCATGGCAAGAGCATATAAATATTCACATAAATGTTTATGACTTTTATCTTTTAGAGTACATACTTCACTGATTTAAAAATAACATTCCTAGGCCAGGCGCAGTGGCTCACACCTGTAATCCCAGCACTTTGGGAAGCCGAGGCAGGCGGATCACGAGGTCAGGAGTTTGAGACCAGCCTGACCAACATGGCGAAATCCCGTCCCTACTAAAAATACAAAAATTAGCTGGGCGTGGTGGTGTGCGCCTGTAATCCCAGCTACTCAGGAGGCTGAAGCAGGAGAATTACTTGGACCTGGGAGGTGGAGGTTGCAGTGAGCCGAGATTGTGCCATTGCACTCCAGTCTGGGTGACAGAGTGAGACTCTGTCTCAAAAATATATATCAATCAGTCAATCAATAAAAATAACATTCTTTGTCCAAAACAATGTTTTCTTATTCTAAAACTCTAATTTTTTTTTTTTTTTTAAAGATGGGGTCTCGCTCCATCACCAGGCTGCGTTGCAGTGGCGTGATCATATATCATAGCTCACTGCAGCCTCACTCCTGGGCTTAAGCCTTTTGCCACAGCCTTCCAAGCAATTAGAACTATACGCACATACCACCATGCCCAGCTTAAATTTGTTTACTAGTAATATGAGAAATGTTAAAAAAAAAAAAATTCAGACAAATTAAATTTTTCAGAGTTTTTTTGAGCAAAGAATGATTCATGAACAGGACAGCACTCAGAACCAGAAGAGATTCAGAGAGTTCCACATTGTGGGCAGAGAATATTCACAGATAGAGAAGGGAAGTGAGATACTGAAACAGCTTGATTGGTTACAGCTCAGTGTTTGCCTTATTTGGACATGGTTGGCTCAATTAGCAGCCTATGATTAGCTGAAGCTGGGCAGCTGTGATGGCTGAGACAGCTATATGTTACAAGAATATACTCGTAAGCTTTCGATTTGTTTACGTACCAAATTGGATTGTTGTTCAGTCTTGAGGGACTCAAGGTACAGCAGCAGCCTTAGGCTAAATTTAATTTAGCAGAACTCTTCTTTTCTTTTTTTTTTTTTTGAGATGGGGTCTTTCTGTGTCACCCAGGCTAGAGTGCAGCAATCTCGGCTCACTACAACCTCCGCCTCCTGGGTTCAAGCAATTCTCCTGCCTCAGCCTCCCGAGTAATGGATTATAGGCACCTGCCACCACGCCCGGCTAATTTTTGTATTTTTATAAGCAGAGACGGGGTTTCACCATCTTGGCCAGGCTTGTCTTGAACTCCAGGCCTTGTGATCCACCCACCTTGGCCTCCCAAAGTGCTGGGATTACAGGCTTGAGCCACCTCGCCTCGGCCCTTACTTTCTTTTTCAATGTATTTGCCTAAATCTGCCTATTTTTGTGTAATTTATTGCATGTAACAAACTACTCCAACATTTAGTAGTTTGAAAATACAACTAGGTTTTATTAGGTTTCATGACTTTGAGGGTCAGGAATTTGGAGCAAAGCGCTGAACAATTCTTATGCTCCAAGTGAAGTTGATTGTGGTATTCAGCTGGTGGCTGGTCTAATTTGTAGGGCCCAAGATAACTTTATTCACATGTTGTGATCTTGACTCACTGCAACCTCCACCTCCCAGGTTCAAATGATTCTCCTGCCTAAGCTTCCCCAGTAGCTGGAATTACAGGCATGCGCCACCACACCTGGCTAATTTTTGTATTTTTTGTAGAGGCGGGGTTTCACCATGTTTTCCAGGGTAGTCTCGAACTCCTGATCTCAGGTGATCTGTGCCTGCCTCAGCCTCCCAAATTGCTGGGATTACAGGTGTGAGCCACCATGCCCAGGCTCTTTAATTTCCTTTTAAAATTTAATTTGTTTTGTTTTGTTTGAGACAGGGTCTCACTCAGTCACCCAGGCTGGAGTGCAATGGCATACTCACAGCTCACTGCAGCCTCAACCTCCTGGGCTCAGGTGATCCTCTCACCTCAGCCTCCCTGGTAGCTGGGACTACAGGTGCATACCACCACGTCTGGCTAGTTTCTTATATTTTTTGTAGAGATTGGATTTCAACATGTTGCATAGGCTGGTTTCAAACTCCTGGGCTCAAGTGGTCTACCCGCCTCAGTCTCCTAAAAGGCTGGGATTACAGGTGTGAGCCACTGCCCCTGGCTGTTTTGTTTTTTAAACTTTGTAAGCTGTGTCGTACATATGAAACTGTGCATAAGACATACACAAAATGTAAGTTTAAGGAATTTATAAAGTGAGAAACTATATAATTGGCATCTAGAAATAGAACTTTGCCTGCATCCCAGAAACCAATACCCAAATACCTTCCCTCTTAGAAATAACCACTATTCTGACTTCGTGGCATTAGCTCATTACTCTTAATGGTTTTAATGCCTGAATATATCCCTAAATAGTATTTGAACAGTCTTGACTACTAAAAAGTTCTTCCTTATATGAAGATTTAATCCATTACCCTAAAATGTTCTCATTAGTACTTTCTTTAACCCATGGGCTTATAAACAATAAATTTAGCATTATTTTTACCCAGAAGAACCACAACTATTTCTTGCATTACATGGTTTCAATTGAATTTCACTATTCTGTTTGGTCAATTTGTATATCTTTCTGGGAAAATATGATTCACCAGTACACAACAAAGTATTCTATCTCTGATTTACTACATAAGCATAGGACTGAAAAATCCCATCTCTCATTCTAGATCCCAGATGTCTATTGATGAGGTCAAACAATCAATTAATGCTAAGCTTATGAGAGACTAAAATATCTTATATAAGACAGTGCCTGGGGCTCAGTTTAGGGGTACTGAAAAAATAAATGGGAATGGTTTCCTTATAAAAGGAACAGTGCCTGGGGCTCAATTTAGGGCTACTGAAAAAATAAATGGGAATGGTTTCCTTATAAAAGGATGAGTTTGGTCCTCTTGTCTCTCTCATTCTCTCGTTGCCCTTCCACCATGGGATGTAACACCAAGAAAACCCTTTCAAAATGCCAGTCCTTTGATCTTGGACTTCCT